AAACGAAAAACAAAATGAGAAATCGAAAAAACGACAAATTGAAAACGATAAAACGGAAACGAAAAAAGTTAACAAAAAGCAAACAAAGAAATGAAATGAAAAAACAAAGGCGAGGGAACGAAAACGAACAAAACAAAACAAAAAACGACAACAAAAAAGAAATAGAAAAAACAAAAAACAGAAACGAAAAAACCAAAACGAAAATGATAAAGCGAAAACAAAAAACCAAAACGAAATTACCAAAACGATTACGAATAAATAAAAACGGTAAACCGAAAACGAAATAACGGAATCGAAAAAGCGTAAACGAAGGAACAATAAAAAAGAACTAAAACGAAAAAACCAAGACAAGAAAATGAAAACGAAAAAAACGAAGATACGAAACCTAAAAACCCAAAACCAAAAAAGAAAAGAAAGTAAGAAAACGAAAAAACCAAAAACGAAAAAAATTTTAAAACAAAAAACCAAACCGAAAAAATGAAATCAAAACGTAAACCAAAAACAGAAAACTAAAAAACTAAAATGAACGTTAACGGAAAAACGAAAACAAAAAACGGAAAGGAACACTTAAACAAAACAGAATACCAAGAAAAGAAGTAGTAAACGAAAAAACCAAAAAGAAAAAATGAAAACGGAAGAACGAAAAGAAAAAACCTAAATAACCAAAAAAACGTAAAAGAAAACAATTACGAAAATACGAAAACAAAAAAGAAGAAACGAAACAATCTAAAACGAAAAACAGAAAAGGAAAAGAAATGAAAACGAAAAAACCAAAACCCAACAATTGAAACCAAAAATTTACAATGAAAAACGAAAAACGAAAACCAAATCGAAAAAACGAAAACAAATATTTCAAAAAGAAAAAAAACGGAAATACAAGAACAAAAATACTACAACGACAAAACAAAAACGAATAAACAAAAAAATCTAAACGAATAACAAAAAACAAAAAGAAAAAATGAAAAGAAAAATTAAAACGAAAAAACCAAAACGAAAAAATAAAAACGGAAACGATAAAACGCAGTCGAAACAACGAAAACGGAAAAAAGAAAACGTAAAAACGTAAACAAAAATAAGAACAGAAAAACAAAAAAATTAAAACGGAAAAAGAAAACGGAGAAACAAGAACGACAAAACGAAAAAGAAAACAAGAAAACGAAAAACCCAAAATGAAAATTCGAAAACGAAAACGAAACAATGAAAATGAAAAAACGAAAACCAAAACATTAAAACGAAAAAGAAAAAACGAAAACAAAAATACGAAAACGACAAAACGAAAACGAATAAACAAAAACCTAAACGAATAACAAAAAACGGAAATGAAAAAATGAAAACGAAAAAAACAAACGAAAAAATCAAAACGGAAACGAGAAAACGAAGGCCAAACAACGAAAACGGAAAAAAACATTAACAGAAAAATAAAAACGGAAAAACGAAAATGAAAAAATTAAAATGAAAAAAGGAAACGAAGAAACAAGAAAACGGAAACGGAAGCGAGAAAATGAAAACGAAAATACGAAAAAACGGAAACGGAAAAACGTAAACTAAAAAAGGAAAACGAGACAACGAAATCGAAAAAACAAAAAAGAAAAAACCAAAACGAAAAACAAAAACCAAAAAATGAAGAAACGGAAACGAAAAACCAAAACTAAAAAACCGAACACAAATCGAAAAAGAAAAAATGAAAAAGATAAAACTTACGAAAATACGAAAAAGAAAAATTAACCAAAACAGAAAAACGAAAAAACGAAAATGAAACAATTGAAAACGGAAAACCGAAAAGGAAAAACGAAGAAATGAAAAAGAAAAAACGAAGAAAAGGAAACGAAAAAATAAAAACGAAAAATAAAAAACGACAAAACGAAAATGAAAAAGTAAAACGAATACCAAATCGAAGAAACGAAAACGAAAAAAAACAAAAATAAAGAATCAAAACGAAAATACCAAAACTAGAAAACCAAACGAAAATCAAAAACATAAAACGAAAAAGAAAAAATAGAAACGAAAAAATGAAACGAAAACGACGAAACGAAAACTAATAAACAAAAAACGTAAATGAATAAACAAAAAACAAAAATGAAAAAATGAAAAGAAAAAATAAAATGAAAAAACAAACGAAAAATAAAAAACGAAAACGGAGACGAGAAAACGAAGACGAAACAGCAAACAAACGAACAAACGGAATAACGTAAACCGAAGAACGTAAATAGAAAAATGAAAACGGAAAAACGAAAGAATGTAAACGAAATTAGAAAACGAAAAATTGACAACGAAAAAACGAAAACGAAAAAATTAACACGATAAAAGGGAAACGAAATACGAAAATAGGTAAACGAAAGAACGAAAAAACCAAAACGATAAAATGAAAACCAAAACGAAAAAAAACAAAACGAAAAAACGAAAACAAAAAAACGAAAACACGAAAACGAAGAAACGATACCAATAAAAAGAAAAAACGGACACGAGAAAATGAAAGCGAAAAACATAAACCAAAAACGAAATTAAGAAAACTAAAAAGAAAACGGAAACGAAGACGAAAAAACGAAAGGAAAACAACGAAAACGAAAAAACCAAAACGAAATCGGAAAACGAACACAAAAATATGAAAACGAATAATTGATATCGTATCGAAAATAAAAAACCAATATGCGAAAACGAAAAATGAAAAACCGAAAATGAAGACGACTACCATTATGAAAGACGTCAAAGACGAAAGACGAAGACGTAACACGAAGGCGAAAGACGATGACGAAAAACAAAAGACGAAATGACGAAGACGAAGGTTAAGTCGAAAAATGCAAGACGAAGACAAAAGGCGAAGATGCAGGTGGAAGACGAACGATGAAGTTGAAGAAGAAGGTTTAAAACTGAAACAAAGGACGAAGACGAAGGACGTAGACGAAGGCGAAGGACGAAAATGAAAGACAAAGATGAAAAACGATGACGGTGACGAAAGATGAAGATGAATGACGTAAACGAAGACGAATGGTGAAGACAAAAGACGAAGACATGACGAAAGATCAAGACGAAACACGAAGATGAAAGACGAAGGCGAAAGAGGAATAACGGGAAGCGAAAGACGAAGACGAAAGACAAAGCGGAAAGACGAAAACGAACGGCGCAGATGAAAGACGAAGACGAGAGCAAAGACGAAGACGAAAGATGAAGAGGAACGACGGAGACGAAAGACAATGACGAAAAACAAGGATGACGGACAAAGACGACAGACGAAGACAAAAGATGAAGACGAAGGACGAAGTCTAAAGACAAAGCCGAAAACAGAGACGGGAGACGAAATCGAAAGATGAAGACAAATGACGAAGACCAAAGGCGAAAAACGAAGATGAAGACGAAGGACGGAGACGAAAGAGGAAGATGAAAACGAAAGTTGGAGACAAAAGGAGAAGACGAATGAAGAGGATGAAAGACCAAGACGAAAGACGATGAGTAAGACAAAAGAAGACAAATGAGTGAATGAAAAAGAAAGACAAAAGAGGAAGTCGAAAGACGAAGTGGAACGACGAAATAAAAGACGAAGGCGAAAGCGAAGACGAAAGACGTAGACGCAGATGAAGACAAAGACGAAAGAGAAAAAACAAAGATGAACACGAAAAGACGACGTGTGTCGAAGAAGAAAGTCTAAGGCGAAAGAAGACAAGACGAAAGACGAACTTGAAAGCGAATGGCGTAGGCGAAGAATAAGGACGAATGACGAAGACAAAACACAAAAGACAAAGACGAAAGTCAAGGACAAGACGAAAGACAAAAGACGAATACTAAAGACGAAAGACGAAGACGAAGACGAAAGACAATGACGAAAGACGAAAGACGAAGACGAAAGACGAAGACGACAGATGATGACCAAAGACTAAGACGAAGTAGAAAGCGAATTCGTAGGCGAAAACGAAGACGAATGATGACGACAAATGACAATGACGGACGACGATAGCGAAAATAAGAAGACGGAGACGAAGTTGTAGACGAATCAAGAAGGCGAAAGAGAATGTGAAGGCGAATGATGAAGAAAAAAAAGAAAGTAAATGACGATGACAAGCGAGGAAAGGGCGTAAGACGAAGATGAAATATGAAGTGCAGAGACGAAGACGAAATATGAATGCCAAGGACGAAAACGATCTGTAGGTAAAAGTTGAAAACGAAAGACTAAATTAAATGCCGAACTATGTGATCGAATGGTGTAGCTAAAACGGCGTCTTTTGCGACAGAAAATTTCTTTTTGTGTGCCCTAGATACCCAAATTGTGTATAATTCTTGTCCCTTTTAGTAGTAAAAAGCTGCCCTTTAATATGAGTATAGTCTGAATCGACGTTTTGTGGATATTTGATACCGAAAAACTAGTTTCGGCTTGTCAGTCTGTCTATTCGACTCTGAACAAACCTAAAAGAAAGTAGGATTTTTACAAAAACTGATATTCAATATTATAACGACCGTATTTTGCGACTCTTAAATTTGAAACATATATTTTGATTTAGGGGTACATTACAAGATGTTTTAATGAATTTTTTCAACTTTTTGTGAAAAATGGTTACATTGTTTTTCTTTACATTTTTTCATAGGGGTAAGTACACTTATAAAAATGATATATGTCCAATTTTCATTGTAGTCAGTGACTTTTCAAAAAATGCAAAAGTTTCAAATAATGAAGAATGTATGTGCTGTTTTACCACCATAGTTTTTAAGAAAATTGTTCTTTTTATGTATATAATTGTTATTGAAATGATGTCCACTTGGACTTAATGGGTTATTGATTCTCTGTTATATGGTGATGTGATAACTGTTTTAAATAATTTGAGTTAAATCACAAAAAATTATATTGAAACCAGCAGGATGGAGGAATGTGTTGCATGACTGGATTAACGTCACTGAAGGGAGGTACATCTCTCTTGGTTTTAGTGTCTTTTACTTACCCTTTGTTCACAAGTTGATACATGTTTTATCAAGTTCTTCTCCTTTTCGAAGAATATTATAATTTTTTTCATAGGTAATACTGTTTGTTTTGAAATCGTAAAATTAATTTTATTTTCAATTTAAATTAAGTAGAAGCTTTTCTTCCTTACCGCTTTAATGAGCATTTTGTTCTGCAAGGTTGGCCACTTCTGTGATTACTTCATGTAGTAAACATTGGACTTCTTCAGAAGTATTCATTACGGTCTTATCAATCATGATCCCTAGTTGTAGCCGATTACAGTAACTTAGCATGCTGACACTAATTGCTGTGAGAATGAAAGAAATTTATTTTTGTATATACTTGATTATAAAATATCTAATAATAGTCTACCATCTCAACATTTTTTCTCATCAAAGTAATAGCATTTAGGTTTTCTTTTTGCTATGACATTTATCAGATTCAAAATAATTTAATGCTGTTGTTTTATTTAATTATGTATCTGATAAAATTGTGATAACATATTCTAACTTGACAGCCACCTCCTTCATAAACTGTTTGTTGATAATACTACTTATGTCTAATTTTTTTAATGTTTTAAAATTTGAATTGTTGCTCTATACTTAATCATGTACCTTCATATTTGATACAATTATAAATACTAGGTATTTCTACCTCTAATGTTATACATACCAGTATTGTTTCTTTGAGGAACCCAGAAATATATGTTTTTAAGTCGGTATCCAGCCAAGAATAAAATTTCTGTTGGTCCTACGAGATTGCTTACAACCATTGTATTAGGACCAATGAGTTGTAGAAATTTATTGAGTAACGGTGCAGGTAAAAAATTTGCAATCCACTTCAAGATAAATGAATTAATTTCAAATTGTCCAGACTGGTGCATGAAGTTCACATTCTGTGTCACATTCTTGAGATGGGATGTACAATTTGCTTTGAATCCTGTGATAATGGGTAGATTCAAAATGCCTAAGGAAAAGGAGTTCTTTAATTTATTGTTTCCACAAATCTGATAATCGTCAACTATATTTTCTTTTTCAGAATCCAAAGTTTTCCTGCATTCATTTTTCATGTTTTTCTCTGATTTGTTTGATTTCATCTTGTAAGCATGATAATTAAAATATGGCCTCATATAAATTGGCACCACTACAGATGTACAATTTGGCAAAAAAGCATTTTTATTTTTCAAGTATTTCCCAATAGCTCTAGATATTGCAGTCAACACAACATCTGTGAATCTTACCCCTTTGACTTTTGATTTAATTCCCTTAACTTGATAGAAAGTAGAACCATCAGAACTATCAGTGTACCAAGCAATTAGCTTCTTGCCTGAGATTTTATGGGCATTCAATATAGAGGTTTCACAACTCTTTTTAATTGTCTGCAATGAATAAATAAACATTCGTACACGTTGAAGATTTTTTGCAAAAGAAGAAAGATAATTCACTTTTTCTATCAGAGAGGAAAATAATGTTGCCTTTTTCTTGTAATCAGAAAGTACTTGATTGCAGGCAAATTTTATCTGTCCTTCAGAAATAAATATTTCAGTTATTCCTCTTTTGAATACAACTTCTTCTAAGCTTTTCTTTCTTGATGATACTTCTCTCATCTGTTGTTTCAACACACAATCTTTTTTTTCCTCATTAATATTTCCCGTATTAGTTCTTTTTTCTGTATTCGCTATTCCAATTAAACTATGCTGGTATCTAGAATTCTCAAATACATCTATATATTCTATTTTTTCAAAGTTTGCTTTGCATGAATCTGGAAAAGATATTTAAGACTGCATAAAAAAATAAGCCTGAAGTATATATTAAATATATATTAGTATTAACATAAAAATTAATTCATACTTATATGTTAATATAAACATATTTGACAAATATTAAATAAGTACAACAATACAAACAAAATTAATATTCAAATATAAAAGAGGTAACGTACTGTTCTGTGTTTGTTTATTTTTAACAACAGAAAGACTGTTCATCAGAAGTTCTAGTAATGAAACTCCATCTCCAAGTGAGTGATGGATTCTAAAGAGAACTGGGAACACTGAGCTTGGTTCTTCATTTGACATAATAAGTCTATGTCTGCTTACCAAGATTTCCCAGCAAGTATTATCTTCAGGAAATCCTTGGTGTGAAATATTTGAAACAAAAGCTTGCAATTCAGTTAATGACACCTGATCTTCCAAATTCTGCAAAATACATTTGCTCATATGTAAATTGAAATATTTGAAATTTTGTGCATGCATAGAAACATTTTTAAATGAGTATAACAAAATGTAGATTTATTTTATATTTAACCAATAGTCCATTAACTGTGGAAAGTCCATTGCTGTCATTTCAGCTAAAAATTAATTTAATGAAATGAATTTTTAAAAATTTAAATTTTGATTTTCATTGCCACAATTGTTCAAAACAATATATAGAAAAAAAATAACATCATGAATACAATGAAATTTTTTAATGATTTATTGTGATGCACAATATTTAACTTATTTATTACCACTTATATTCATCATTTTTGATGTGAGAAATTTATACTTAAATGATGTAGTGACTTAAAAAACATTAATTTATTATAAATTATTCTCAAAATGTTTTCTGTAATGAATTTTATATCAATCAATAAAACAAATTATCCAAGGTTTGTAGTAAAGTAGACTCCTGATTGTACAGATACCATACCCAACAGGAGTGCCCAGAGAAAACCAGGGGCCCAGGGATGTTGATACGAGGCCCTTATTTCAAAAAAAAAAAATGTGTTCCTCCCCAATTCATGAAAGGATTAATTTCTCCAGCTTCAGAATTAACTTACAGCATTAAATGTGGATTAGAGATAAATATATTGTTCATTTCTTTTGGCCGAAAAAAAATTTGGGACCCCAATTAAGTCGGATTCTGCACCAGTTGCCACACCCCTCCCCCTTCCAGAAATCCCTGCCATTTAGGCATGAAGATAATGTAAACTGTTTTGGAGCTATAAGGTTATATTTATGACCCAAGAATATAGGGGAAAAAATAAATGAAAACATTTTTACCCTATCATTACTCTCAATAACATTTTACTTTTTCATTGGGTGGCGATTCCATTTGATTGTTCTTATGATCACAGTCCATACAATGAAGAGTTTACTGAATTTGCAAATGTCTTCAATTGAATCTGACATAGTCTTTTGTTTTTCTTCTTTCCTTCTTTTTCCCCTCAATTTATTCAAATCAGTTACAACAGTGTATTCTCATAATGAAAAGTTCTTTAAATCTCATGCTAAAAATAAAAAGTATTTGAATAAAAATTTATTTTGCAGGGAGATCTAACCTGAATCTCCCCCTTTACCTAAAAAACGTTTTATATTTGTCCCTAATGCACAATTAGAAGGGTATTTTCTTGACTTCTAAAATAATTTTTAAGATGTGCAACAAATAAGCAGTGCAATAAATAAAAGTATTTTACTTTTATTGTTAGTATTTCAGTAATATTTCAATTTGTCTTCTTTTTAGTTCTTTCTTTGTCAGATTTAGAGAAGAAGCTTATTTACCTGTTTTGTAAGAGGCATCCAATGCACATGTTCTTTGAGAAATGACAAATCACTACATGTTTGCCAGTAAGAATAACCCATACAGCTATATCTTCGCTTCCAAATCAGTTTAGGATTAACTAAAGCAGCTTTTAGAATTGCTTCTCGAAGGGCTTTCAACAAACACTCGGCTCCTTCTGCTTCAATTTCTGCTAAAACTGTAATGATGGGTTGAGAAGGATCTTCCAGATTCCAAATTGCATCAGGGCCTTCCATCAAGGAGATGAAAGAGTGTGATCTCATTTTCAATAAACAAAATACTATTTTTCGATATAAAGCCAATATTGCAAATAAGGGAAGAGTAACAATGACCGTAGCCATGAGAACTGCTCCAAGTAATATAATTTCATAGTCAAAAACCTAAAAAACAGAAGCAACTCTTAAGAGAGAAAAAATTACACATAGGTTGTGTGGTGGATTTTTAGTAAATGGACAGTATAATACATAAATAAAAATCCACTTAAGTATTCACATCTCGTAAAAAATAATTACAATTAGAACAAAAATATGTTGTGAAAATATCCCAGTACTCCAAAATAAAGTAATATTATTCAAATTCACAAGGCCATGTTAAAATAGATTATGATTGTAAATAAAAAAGAGCTAAAGAACAAATATCACCATCCTATGGTTTTTAATTGTTAAAGGTGTGCACATGTGAAAATAGTGAGTGGTCATTTTCAGTGACATGAGGCAGTAATCAGTAAATTAGTTCTTGATCCTATAATAAAGTATTGGTAGTGCATTGTATACCTAAATTTTTCCTTCTCTTAGAAATTTTTCACAATATCTTATATGTTTTTAAATGTGAACAACATTATTTAAAGATCTAATAGAGAGGGATAAATAGCATAAAGAAAAAATCTCTGGATTTAACTTTAGAAGCATAAGACAGGTTCTAAAATAAATTTGAACTTTTGCAATCTTCAAAATTTCAGAGGTTTTAATGAAAATCTGAACTATACCATAATTATATATGCACTTTTTTCTAGTCGAGAAAGAGATTTTAAAGAAAATATTTGAATTATAAAAAAAAATTTTTAAGTTTCACAGGGGCTTAATGAGGTACCCCCCCCCCAAAAAAAATTAAAATATTTTAATGATCTTCGGAACGTCACACCTAGATCTTATTCCCGACGTATTTACCAAGTTTCAGGTCAAAGCTTCTAATCCTATACATTCACGCACACATCCATCATGTAAACATCCATAAACGTCCCGATTATCCGACAGTACTAAATTTCGTGTATATTCTCGCTACTTGCGCCAGTCTTAACCATCTTTGAAATATCGCTAATAGACTTCAATCCTGGAAACTCTTAAGAGAAAAAAAGCTCCGAGTAAAATGCAGTTCAAAAGAACCTCAAAGACTGTTTTTACAACATAAAATTCGAGCTTGTTTTGTTGAGATAATTCCAATTATTAACAAAGTAAATAGTGGTGCTAAACAGCACGTACTTTCTCTCCCGTATTTTCATGCAACATTATGCGAAAAGTACTCAAATTTTCGAAAAATTGTACATGATCTTATTTGAAAATTTAGCTTTAAAGATTTCATCAAGGGATCTCTATCTTTAATATTTCAGTTGTAGGAAGACTCCGAAAAAAATGAACTATTTTAATTTTCGAAAACTCAAAAAAAATGAGATATGTGCCATTTTCCTTCCTTCTTTGTCCTTCACACTATCAAACAAAAATTTTTAATTAAAAACGTACAGGCAGACGAACGGACAGACTTTTTCCGTCATTCAATTTTTCAGTATGAAGGACCCACAAAACATAGATTCTGACTACACCACGTGAGAGAGAATTTTCTTTTTCTAAATTTAGCAACTGGATTTGCCCACTTTTTTGTTTCCAGGGCCCTGTAATACGAGGTCTGCCGAAAACTCGCCGGTTTTTCGCGCTGCATTACAAAACTTTCTCTCTACTCCGTAGGGTATGCATAAAAATCATATTTCATTTCCCTGCTGAATACAAAAATGTGGGAAATAATTATTTTATTTTCTGTACGTGTAGCTATTAGAAAATCTCGATCAAATTTATCATCAATATCACTGCTGCCGCAAGAAATATCTCGAAAATCACTCATCATGAGACTCGTGAAAAATCACTTAGGCGCGCCAATAGAGTTATACCACTATTCAAATAATAATAATAATAATAATAATAATAATAATAATAATAATAATAAT